GACCTAGAAATTGCCCTCTTCCTACCCCTGCCCTGAGAATCTCAAACAATCTAAAAACTATACCTACCAAGGCACTATTTCTAATTTCGTTATTAGCTAGAAGCTTAGCTTATGAATGATTAAAAAGGGGCTGGAATGAACTGAATATGATAATTAGTTTAAACTAAAACAAATGATTCTAAGTTATGATTAATTTCATGATTACCAAGTGTCCTTAGCCTATATTAATATTAGCATTTACAGTGTAGTCCCATGCACGGGAGGCCTTTCCTGGAGCCCTATTTAATGCTCCACCCCCGCGCCCGGCACGTCCCACTCACTGCCCTGCCTCAGTTTTCTCTTCAGCACGCGTAACTCTCGGGCCATCTATTTACTTACCTCGTCTGGCTGCGTCCCACTAGAATGGAAGGTCCACGAGGGCAGAGCCTGACAGGGCCCAACACGTAGTGGGTGCTCCACACTCATGGGTCAGGGGACGTCCGTAGCAGCGTCCCATCCATTCTTGCTTTGCACACCCTTCCGACGCGCCCTCCGCTCCCTGACCCCCGTAGGTCCAGCCCAAGCCCCTCCCGGCGTAGCTCCAGATCGGCCCTCGCGAACTCCAAGGGACTCCCCAGCTCCTCCCGCAGGCGTTCCTCAGCGCCCCAGCCGGCTCAGGTGCCCGCGCTTAAAACTAAAATAAGGCCCAAACCTCGGTGCTGCGAGGAGACAGCAACAACCGACGTCCTCCAGGAGCCTTTGGGAGGCTTCCGGGGAAACCTTTGCTAAAGTGGGCGTGTCCCGGAAGTAGAACAAGCGCCAGCGCGCAAGGACCTCGTTTGCGCCTGCGCACACGGGGAGCAGGGCGCCGCGCTCGGCATGGGGGACCCGGAGTCAGAGCCTGAGCAGATCCGTTTGAAGTGTATCCGTAAGGACGGCTACTTCACGGTGCCTCCAGAACACAGGGTGCGACGGGGGGCCGCTCGCCGTAGCTCCGCCGGGGGCAGGGCGGGACCGAAACGCCCTGGAGCCCCTTAGTGTCGCGCTGAAGCGTTGAGGTTGCCGCCGCCGCGGGCGGGAACGACAGTCCCAGAGTTCCTCGCGGCCGGCACGGAAACCGGCGGCGATGCTCCGGGGCCGAGGGCCTGGGCTGGTGGCGGACCGCGGGGCCAGTCGCGCTCCGCCGAGGGACGGGCGGGCTGTCAAGCAGCCGGTCTCCTCTGGAAGAACAGGCTCTGGGCTCTACCGCGGGCGTCCCTTCGTTTTGCGCCGGGGCCGGGCTTTGCAGGCTGACCCGGGAGCCCCTTGTGTCAGGGGGGAGTTGGCCCGTGGAAAGAGTTGGAGGCGTGGTCTCCCTTGGCTTTAAATGGATGTGGCCGGGCCCCGCCTGACACCCGGCAGCTTCCTTTTGTGTCTTGCTCTGTGCGAGGCTTCTGCGTGTGATACTGTCATTTAGTCCTCTCGGCGACCATTTATAAAGGTGAGGAAAGTGAAGCTTAGGGGTGTGGAGTGGTTTTACCAAGGGAGACGGCTCGTGCAGGTGCAGGTTTGAACCCTGGTGTTTTAACTACTTAACTGGTGCTGAGAAGCCGGAAAGCGTCATTAGCACACTGGCGGAGTGCGCACCTAGGGCCACCTGGAGCAGTCGCTGGCCGTTGCACATCACTCACACACACAGCAGGTGCGCACAGCTTTCCGAGTACGGTGCAGGAGTGAGGGGAAACCTCTCGGAGGGGAGCTGGGACATACCCAGATGAGGACAGAGTACACAATAGTAGGTGCTTCAAGATATGAAAGTATCGGGATTTTAGGGGAAGAATTGTTTGCAGCTGGGGGAAATTTTTTGTAAAAGAAATTTGCGTGGAGGCGCCTGAGTGGCTCAGTCGGTTAAGCATGGGACTTTGGCTCAGATCATGATCTCATGGCTCATGTTCCAGAGCTGCCGCGGGCTCTATGCTGACAGCTCAGAGGCTGGAGCCGGCTTCGGATTCTGTGTCTCCCTCTCTCACTCTGCCTGTCCCCCACTCATGCTTAGTCTGTCTGTCTCTCTCTCTCTCTCTCCTTCAAAAATAAATAAACAGGAAAAAAAGAAAAATCTGTACAAAGGTGGCGTTTCTGCCAGGCTAGTAAGTGTGACTAGGATGTTGACATGCAGAGACAAAGAGGCCCGGCATGCCAGGTTTAGAGAGTGGCAGATGCAACCTCACGGAGATAAGAGACACAGTGTGACTAGGAAGCACCAGGGGTTCCCCCAGGAGAGAGGATGTGAGAAAGCACTGGTGGGCAGAGGAGGCTGAGGTGAGATCATGGAAGGGCTCAGTCTGGGTGATTCTGACCTGGCTCCAGAGGTGGTGGGAAGGGAGGAGATGGAAGGCAAGGGCTGGGAAGAGAATAGAGGCAGCAAGGCCAGAGAGAGACTGTTAGAATTTGAAACTTGCCACATGTGCTTCCTGGACCCAAAGAGACGTGCCCATTCGGTCCACCTACCAAAGTACTGCATTACAAAGGTGCATCAGGATACAGGCTCTCTGCTAGGACAGGAACCCGTAAATATAGTGGCTTAAGTACAGGACTTTCTTTCTCCCTCCCCTAACTTTCCAGAGAGAGGCAGCTGTTTTCCACGAGGTGGACCAGGCTCTCAAGCTGTCTGCCTTGTAGATCTACCTCCACGTCATTCAAACCCCACCCTGCTTCAGGAGCAAAAAGGAGTGGGTGGCAACCAACTTCCTTTGACCGGGAAGTCCCTTCCTTGAGGGCTTGGTCCTTTCTGCTCACATCCCATTGGCCAAAATTGAGTCAAATGGACAGACCTAGCTGCAAGGGAGGCTGAGAAATCCAGCTACCAACAGGTTGGCCTCACGCCACTGGACAGTGTTTCCTAACTAGAAAAAGTACAGCGTGGATGTTGGGGATGGCTCGTCTCTGCCACAGATGAGTTTCCACTGCGTTTGATAGATGCTTTGTGAGGATCTAGGAGCTTTGTCCGTCTCCAAAGCATAATTTAGACCAATGCTGCTCACTATTCCTCTTGTGATTGTGGAAATGTTGCTTTCTGACTCGTCCAGTATGGTTACCGTGAGCCACATAGCAGTGTGGAGCACGACACACATGGCAAGTGAGGAAATGAAATACTAATTTTAATTAATTTTAACCATCCATGGCCAGTGGTTATTGTTTCCAGGCAGCCTACATCTGGACCGTGGGATTGGAAGGGAACAGGCTATCTGTGATGATGCATTCGAAGTGCCTGCTCACCCAGTAATATCGTCCCCCTTTTCTCCCTTGAAAAGCCCAAGTGCGTGGTTGTCTTTCTGTTTGGTGAGCAAGACATGAGTGAGCTCCCTGGTACAAATTAAATGTGAAATGTCCACCTTTAGTTGTTTGTTAGCTGGCCAGTCCCTGCACTGCCAGCACCTCTGTCTTTCAGTTGGGACGGTGCCGGAGTGTGAAGGAGTTTGAGAAGCTGAACCGCATCGGGGAAGGCACCTATGGCATTGTCTGTGAGTGGCCAAGATGGGAGGTCTGGGGTTCAGGGGACTGTCCCAGCAGTTGAGGAACTTAACACCCATTGCTCCACAGCCAGGGCAGAATTTCTACAAGTGAACTCGGATCTGTGGTGTATTTGCCATAAATTCCACACCATGTCTGAATAAATGTAATTTATTCAAATTGCGTTTGCAACCCTGACCTGCAAGTTGGGGCAACTGTTACAGCAAAATGCAGAACTTCCAGAAGCAGCCGGGGCTGCAGCCTGTGGCAGCTGAGATGTTGGTATACCTTATACTACTGGGGTTCGGAAGCTGCGCACTTTAGCACAGGGCTTTGAGGAGCCTCCTTGGCACAATATAAGGGATTTTTTCCTGGATAAAGTATCTTATTTGCTGTTAGAACATAGTAACAACAGAGAGCAGAGCAGTGACCCGCATCCTGACTCTAAGGAGAAACACTGAGGGGGAGCCTGTTGTAAGTAGCACCCTCTACCCAGGTTAGATGAGAGGACTCCCCCAGAGAGCCTGTGTCTGGTGGGGATGCGGGCGCTGCTTGCATGGTGAGGACCTAGTGTCAATGGGCATCCAGTTATCAAAGAAGGGAAAGGGAACCCACAGGGTTCTGAATGAGGCCCCTGTGTGGCACAAGGGTGGGTGATGTGGGATCAAGCCTATTTGATCATTCCATCATGGATGAGTTTCCATTCCAGATAGGGCCCGGGACACCCAGACGGATGAGATTGTTGCCCTGAAGAAAGTGCGGATGGACAAAGAGAAGGACGGTGAGCTCAAAGTGGGAGGGGTAGAAAGGTGCCAGTTGCCCAAGGTTCCTTCTGGCCTGGGGTGGGGGTAGCTGAGTTGCAGGTCTTGTTGTAGGGGACCTTGTATTCAGGGGGGGTTCCTGAGGCCAAGTCTGGTTACAGGGATCCTTGTGTGCAGGGGTGGGGGTTGCTGAGGCCAGATCTGGTCCCAGGGGTCCTTGTGCGCAAGGGTGGGGATAGCTGAGGCCAGGTCTGGTTACAGGGTTCCTTGTGTGCAGGAGTGGGGATTGCTGAGTTGCAAGTCTGGTTGTAGGGGACCTTGTATGCAGGGGTGGGGGTTCCTGAGGCCAAGTCTGGTTACAGGGATCCTGTGTGCAGCAATGGGGATTGCTGAGGCCAGGTCTGGTTGCAGGGGTCCTTGTGTGCACAGGTGGGGGTTCCTGATTTGCAGGTCTAATTTCAGAGGTCCTTGTCTGCAGGGATGGGGGCTGCTGATTGCAGGTCTGGTTGCAGGGGTGGGGGTTCCTGATTTGCAGGTCTAGTTTCAGGGATCCTTGTCTGCAGGGGTGGGTGTTGCTGAGTTACCAGTCTGGATGCATGGATTCTTTTCTGCAGGGGTCGGGGTTCCTGAGTTGCAGGTCTAATTTCAGGAGTCCTTGTCTGCATGGGTGGGGGTTGCTGAGTTCCAGGTCTAGTTTAAGGGGTCTTTGCAGGGGTGGGGGTTCCTGATTTGCAGGTCTAGTTCAGGGGTCCTTGTCTGCAGAGGTGGGGCTGCTGAGTTGCAGGTCTGGTTGCAGGGGTGGGGGTTTTTGTGTTGCAGGTCTAATTTCAGGGTCCTCGTTCTCAGGGGTGGAGGTTGCTGAGTTGCAGGGCTGGATGCAGGGGTCCTTGTCTGCAGGGGTGGAGGTTGCTGAGTAACAGGTCTAGTTTCAGGGGTCCTCATCTGCAGCGGTGGGTTCCTGAGTTGCTGGTCTGGTTGCAGGGGTCCTTGTCTGCAGGGGTGAGGGTTGCTGAAGCCAGGTCTGGTTGCAGGGGTCCTTGTGAGCAGGGGTGGGACATCTTGAGTTGCAGGTCTAATTTCAACGGTCCTGGTCTGCAGGGCTGAGGGTTGCTGAGTTGCAAGTCTGGATGCATGAGTGGGGTTGCTGAGTTGCAGGTCTGTCTGCAGGAGTGTGGGTTGCTGAGTTTCAGGGGTCCTTTCTGCAGGAGTGTGGGTTGCTGAGTTACAGGTCTGGTTGCATGGGTCCTTGTCTCCAGGGGTGGGGGTTGCTGAGTTGCAGGTCTGGTTGCAGGGATCTTTGTAGGGGTGGGGGTTGCTGAGTTACAGGTCCAATTTCAGGGGTCCTTGTCTGCAAGGGTGGGGGCTGCTGAGTTTCAGCTCTGGTTACAGGGGTGGGGATTCCTGTGTTGCAGTCTAATTTCAGGGGTCCTTGTTCTAAGGCTGGGGGTAGCTGAGTTGCAGGTCTGGAAGCAGGCGTGGGGGTTGCTGAGGTGCAGGTGTGTCGTAGGGATTAGGATTGCTGAGTTGCAGGTCTGGTTGCAGGGTCTTGTCTACAGGGGTGGAGGTTGCTGAGTAGCAGGTCTCGTTTCAGGGGTCCTCGTCTGCAGCAGTCGGGTTCCTGAGTTGCATGTCTAGTTTTAGGGGTCCTTGTCTGCAGGGGTGTGGGTTGCTGAGTTTCAGGGGTCCTTTTCTGCAGGAGTGGGTGTTCCTGAGTTGCAGGTCTGGTTGCAGGGGTCCTTTTCTACAGGGGTGGGGTTGCTGAGGCCAGGCCTGATCGCAGAGGTCCTTGTGTGCAGGGATGGGGGTTCCTCAGTTGCAGGTCTGGTTGCATGGGTC